TACCTTAAACATGGCTTCTAAAAGCATGCACTGACTTCCTTCTGCACCTTGAGCAGTTTGGTTCTGGAGGGACACAGAACCCTCACACTGGGCTTCATCCTCCAGCCACGGGTGACCCGGAGCCCGGCCTTGACCTGGCTTTTCCTATTAACACAGGACCACTGGCTCCTCCATCCCGTGCGCTATACATTTACAGGATTGATTGAGCACAGACGGGTGGTTTTAAGTTGGCTCCTCCCTGTCCTCACTCCCTTCTTCCCCCTGCCACTATCTTTGGGGATAAAGGTTTTATTTCTTCCACAATAACTGGGCAAAAATAGTAGACTCAGCCGCTAAGTAGGTCAGCCTGCCTGCGCACCGAGGGGCGGCAGGTGCTAATGAGGGTTCCTGACTTCAGCATGGCGAGGGGAGCAGTAGAAATAGCAGTGTCTGCACTCAGATCCCGGGAACCAATAAGAGTTCCTGCCTTGGTCTAACGTAGGTAACTGAGGAAGTGGCTTTCACACCATCATGGGGGGGGGGGGGGAGGTCTTACATGATTTTTAATGAAGATGGCCAAATAAAGCACAGGACCTGCCGGGAGGAGCGCAGAGCGCGGCTGATGGTTCAGTTACTAGATGGAGGCTGCCAGAGGCTCGCTCACTTGAATGCACGGGAAAACCAGTGGACGAACCGAAGCTATTAAGAGGGTCACTGGTTCCAATGACTGAGGATCCCCCAAAAGGGGTCTGAGACAGAACCAGGAGGGACACCGTGACTCCGCTTGGGGCTCTGGGCGCGAGCTTAGCCCTGTTCTGTTTGCAGCTCCGTCTTTTTCTTGTTTTTCACTGGCGTGGCCACTGCCCCGTGTCCTCGCGCTGCACTCCCGTGGTGGGGAGACCGCTTCGACTCCTTCCATGAGGGACACGTGCTGTGGAAAGCCGTGTGCGACTCCCGCGGAGCCGGGGGCTGTGTTAACTAGCAGAAGCCACTATTTCCTCATCAGCACGCACCTGGCCACGGGATAACTCCATCTTTCACGCTGATTGGCAAAGGGCAGCCGGGCAGCTCTCAGTCATCAAGCACCTGTGGCAGTGGGGTCAGCCACAGGCCCCGCAGCGCCCCCTCCTCTCTTGCCGGGCTCTGGGGCGCTGCCTGCGGCCACCTCCTCTCCCATCCCAGCAGTCACTGTAAAATACGAATCTGCCCATTGGTCCGTGTGTCCGTGCATCCCACGGGGTGAGCTTTTCGACCCACCGCCCCCCTGGGTGCCCCAGGGGCAAAGAAACGTATTGTATGTGCATAATGTGCAATTGCGTGGCATCGCCCAGGGCAAGGTGTGTTTCGCACAAATATTGCCACGTTCCCTCGGTTGATGTGGGGGTGGTGAGGTCAAGGCCACGGAAAGATCCAAAATGCTGGGGTGCATTTACTTATCCTTTGGGTCCCTGCAAGCGGGCGGACTTGTGATTTCTTCCTGTGGGCCGAGGCCCTGGCGTGGCCAGGGCTGTGTGGAGAGCACTGGCAGCCGCCCGTGGGTGGGATGGCATCGTTCTGTCAGATTTCTCCGGATTTAAGAGCATCGGGTTGTGCCCTTGGTGGGGCAGGCGTCATTTCAGGGCCTACGTGTGGCGCCTCACCCTCTGCCGCCATGCCATTCAGGGGTCACCCGTGCTGTGTGGCAGCACCCGGGTGAAGGGGGACTTTCCCTAGTCACACCTTTTCTCACAGGACTTGGAGGTTTTGCTTAAGCAGAGTCTGCTGTCAACCTTGTGTGCCGATAGCCCTGCAACCCTCGCCCGTTCCGAGTCTCCTGCCTGCCCTGGCCCTACCTTGACCGTGGAAGCTGTCCTGACGCACGCATGCGCTGTGAAGCCGCTCGCTCTCAGGCCCGGGAGGAGGGGGTGAGGCCAGCCTGGCTGTGCCTAGTACTCCCTCCCCCCACTGACAGTGGACAGTACCCCCACCCCCACACCTGTACCCCCCACCCCACCCCCCCGCCCCCGCCCAGCTTGCTTGTTCTCTTCGTAGCTATTTTTGTACTGATTGCAAGTCTCAGAAATGAAAACTATTTCTTAGAAGTGAAAAGTTTTCCTTTTCTGCACTTAGTCTTTTGTCCGGTCTATTTTCTTTTCTTCCTTAATGGTCCTGGGCTTGAACTCTGGGCAGCGCACTGTCAGCTTTTGTGCTCAGGCACTAGCTCTGCCACTCAAGCCACAGCTCCACTTCCAGCTTTTTGTGGTTAACTAGGGATTAAACCTTGCAGGCTTTTATGCCCAGGCTGGCTTTGAACCGTGGTCCTCAGAAATCAGCCTCCTGAGAAGCTAGGATGACAAGCACGAGCCACACCCCCACCCGTCTGTTTTCCTAATTCTGGATGTAAGAACTGGGAGCAAGGCTCCGAGGCCCGGCTGTGTCCTGGCTCCTGCTTCTGCTGTGGCTTCTTGTCATCTAAGCTGTACTCAAATAGCAGGTGGTGGCATTATACTTACCTCAGCCAGGTTGCTATGTGCTTATATTTACTACTAAACTTCCAAGTTTACAACGACGCCTGCCGTGCCGACACACATGGTGGAAGCCACTAGAAGCAAGAATGTGGCCAGAAGTGACGGGGATCTTTAGAATCACATCTGGTCATTTGCCACCGACGGGAACCCAGCGGGTTCCACACAATGAGGTTTCGCACATCCTATTTTGTGCCTCAGACCCCAGGGACTAGTCCCGCTCGCAGGCTCTGTGAACACCAAGAGCAACACAGGCAAATATCTTGTGTTGGCTCCATTGAATTCTCACGTGTGTGTGTGTGTGTGTGCATGCTGCTCCCAGTATTTGAGCATAGGGCCCACCCTGTAGGGCTCTACCCCTCGAGCCATGCCTTCAGCTCCGTCTTTCTGCTGATTAACTGGAGATGATGAGAGTCTGTTGTACTTCCCTGCCCGGGCTGGCTTTGAACTGTGCTCCTCCAGGTCTCCACTTCCCTAGAACAGCTAGGATCACAGACATGAACTCAAGGCTTCACATTTTTTAGGCAGGTGCTCTCCCACTTGAACCATGCTTTCAGCACAGGAAAGATTTTTTTTTTTTGGTCGGCCATGGGGCTTGAACTCTGGGCCTGGGCGCTGTCCCTCAGCTCTTCAGCTCAAGGCGAGCGCTCTACCACTTGAGCTACAGCGCCACTTCCGGTTTTCTGGTGGTTTATTGGAGATAGGAGTCTCATGGTCTCTCCTGCCCGGGCTGGCTTTGAACCGCGATCCTCAGATCTCAGCCTCCTGAGTAGCTACGATTACAGGCGTGAGCCACCAGCGCCCGGCTCAGCACAGGAAAGATTTTTAAACCACATGGAAAAGAGCACTGACTGCATAAAAAAATGGAAAACTTGGGTATGTCAAGTAAAATTCATAGCCAAATTAAAAATTAACCCTTTCCCCCTCCCCCACGGTATAACCCGTTTTCACTGTATTTGATGTTGGTATAATTTGGGGAAGGGAAGGGAAAAAAGCAAAATGTTTAAATAGGGATACAGGTTGACCCACTGCGACAATGAGATGTACAAGACACTATGTAAAAAAGCAAACTTTAAAATTGGGGGGGGGGGGGGGAGAGGGAAGGTAGGTGTAGGGTGTAGTTGTAGAGGTGGGAGGGAAGGGATGGTAGGGGAAAAACAAAGGAGGAGGCAACAATGCTTGTTAAGACATGTACTCATTACCTTGCTCATGTAACTGTAACCCCTCTGTACAGAATTCTCACAATAAAAAACTTAAGAAATGAACACCTTTCCAATTTTTGTGTGCGTGTACACGCGCATGCGTGCACTGATCCTGGGGCTCAACTCAGCCTGGGTGCTGTCTCTGACTTTTTGTGCTCAAGGGTAGAGCTCTACCACTTGAGCCACAGCTCCATTTCTGGCTTTTTTGGTCATTAATTGGAGATACAAGTCTCACAGACTTTCTAGCCAAGCTGGCTTCAAACTGCTATCTTCACATCTCAGCCTCCTGAGTAACTAGGATTATAGGCATGAGCCACTGGCATCTAGCCCAAATCAAATTTCAAAACGTATAATCTATAGTAAGAACAATTAAGTTAAAATTTCTGCTCAGAGACAATCCTCTAAACTAAGCTTAAAAAAGAAAATCGGGGCTTTGGGCTGGGAATGTGGCTCAGTAGTAGAGTGCTTGCCTTGCATGCATGAGGCCCTGGGTTCGATTCTTCAGCACCACATAAGCAGAAAAATCCAGAAGTGGCACTATGGCTCGAGTGGTAGAGCACTAGCCTTGAGCTGAAGAGGTGAGGGACAGCGCCCAGGCCCAGAGTTCAGGCCCCATGACTGGCCAAAACAAAAAACTGGGGCTGGGAAGGTGGCTTAGTGGTAGAATGCTTGCCTTGCATGCATGAGGCCCTGGGTTCGATTCCTCGGCACCACATAAGCAAAAAGAAAAAAACAAGAAGTGGCAGTGGCTCAAGTGGTAGAGCGCTAGCCTTGAGCTGAAGAGCTGAGGGACAGTGCCCAGGCCCAGAGTTCAGGCCCCATGACCGGACCCAAAAAAAAAAAAAAAAAAGACTAAAGCTGAAGTAATAATTATAACCCAGCTAAAGAATGGCCACAGGCTACAGAGACTGTCAAAATGATTAAATGTCATACATGTATCTGTATATACACATACATACATACATACATACATACATACATACATGTACACACATACACACAGTCCAGAGGTTTCCTAAGAATTTTATTTCAGTGACTGTCTCCAGAGAGGGGAACTGAGTAGATAGAGGACAAGGATGAAAAGAGGAATTAACTCTTGAAAGCAAAGCATTTTGTCACCTTTGGTGTTTATAGACATATGTATGTGTGTGTGTATATGTATAGTAAGTGTATATATAGTGTATACACACTGGCATCGGCTGCCCTGTGCTGGGACGGGATCCACGGATGAGGCTCGAAGCTTGCCATTGAACTGGCTGCACCTCTTCTGACCTCCTTGCTTCCGCTGCTAATTTGTCTAATTCCTTCATTTCAGGAAGGATTTTCACTCATTGGCAGCAAGAACTGGCTGAAGATTGTGAGGCGCATGGACTGTCTGTTGTTTGGAACGACAACAAAGGCAAGATGAAGCTAGCGCTGGGCTCAGGCTGACACGGGGGAGGGGACAGGGCAGGGCGAGGCCTCCAGCAGCACGCCTTCACTGGAAGAGAGTTCCATCTCAGGGGTCATCAGAGAAATGGGATTTTGAATTTGGGGGTACAGCCTGAGCGGTAGATGCTTTCTTTAGCCAGTGCCAAGCCCTGGGCTTTATCTCCAGTATGGAAGAACACAAAGAGCTCTGTTCGCTTAGTGTGTCTGTGAGTGTGTGTGTTGGGGGCAAGGATGCTCTCTCCCAGCCAGGAATTTGCATGGGCTCTAGCAAGCGGATTCTAGGTATGGACCCTCAGACTTGGGGGCTGATAGGAAAAAAACCAACCGGATAGAACCTAGATGTTGGTTAGTAGGGGTCAGTTAAATAAGTAGCAAGCTGCATTTCTATTTTCATATACCAACTGTAAAATAAAAAATTAAGCTACAGAGCAGCAGTGTCGTTTTAAGTTTACACGAGGTATGTAACCTATATTACATGTAAGACCTCTAAAATATTTGCGTATGTCCCCTGATGTCTTTGTATACATTTGAAGTGGCCTTTTCCCGTTTGTTCAGTGTGGGAGGAGGTAATAATGAGTCAGGTTTATTCTAGAGAGAATCAAACGAAGTAAAACGCAAAAAGTGCCTGTCTTCCTTCATGCCTCACCTTTGCTAGCCTGGCGGACAGAAGGGTGGCCCCAAATCTGTAGCTCTATTCAGGTGGCTTTTCTGTAAATCCACTCATGTAGTCCAGGAGTATGAGATAGAGAAGACACCGGAGTCCTGGTGGTCAAGTGTGGTCAACCTAGGTCTGCTTACCTCAGTCATGGGCCTGGGCGCTGTCCCTCAGCTCTTCAGCTCACCACGAGCGCTCTACCACTTGAGCCACAGCACCACTCCCAGCCTTTTCTGCTTATGTGGTGCTCAGGAATTGAACCCAGAGCCTCATGCATGCAAGGCAAGCGCTCTACCACTGAGCCACCTTCCCAGCCCCTAAATGTAGTAAAGGAAGGCTTTTCTACAACTGTTGAGTTGCATCTGGCTCCCGTGTCTGATAACAGGTGCACCCCACTCTGCTCCCCCCGTGAGGATGGAGATGCAATCCTGACCTGCCGTGCCAGGCTGGTGAGCACCTGGGCTTCCCCACTTCTGCTGTGTAACTCAGGTCTCCACAGGAAAAGCCTTCCCAAAGGGGAAAGAAAGGGAAACCCTCGCCTTTTCTGGCCCTGCACCATGACAGCACCCTCCCCGCCAAGGGCACGCTTACTAGGAAGCCCTGGAGGAAGTGGCGCTGTGGCTCAAGCGGTAGTGCACTCACCATGAGCTGAAGAGCGCAAGGACAGCGCCCAGGCCCAGAGTTCACGTCCCACAACGGACCAAAAAAAAAAACAAAAGGAAGTATAGAAGGCCCTGGAGGTCGCGCACCATCAGGATGACCTCTGACCTGTAGCCTGTTCCCACAGGACAAGAGCCGCATGTTCCGGGTGCAGTTCGCTGGAGAAACCAAGGAGGCAGCCCTGGAGCTGTGCCGCGCCTGCGTGCGGAGCCTGGCCCAATACATCACCGTGGAGGCGCCCGATGGCAGCCCGGAGCCTCGGCCCAGCCCCAGGCCCCAGTGGGCAGGCGGAAGCCGGGAGGACAGTGCAAAGCCTCCGTGGCACAGGGTGAGCACACTTCTGAAGTGGAGGCTGGTGGTCGGGGGCAGGGAGGGAGGCCTGGGCTCCTGGCACTCAGTCACTTACGTGTCTCCCAGATGCTGTAGCCAGGGACTCTTCTGACCTGTCACTTGTTCTGAACAGACGTGCAGACACCTAAATTAGAGCCATTTGGTCCTGGCCTATTTCTTGGCGGCTGTGTGAGGTCCTGCAGGACACAGGGAGCCGCAGGCCACAGCGGCCAGCCCCTGACCATGGCCTGCAGTTACCTGTCTGCCTGACCTCAATGGGCAAATTGCATCCGGGCCAACTGGCGGGGACCAGTCAGGAGGGGACGGAGGACAGCAGCCCCAGTGTGGCAGGCTGTGGCCAGGCTCCGGCCACCATGCACCCGCCTTCATTTTCTAGTTCCTGTGTTCTTTAGTCTGAAACCACCGTTGCCTTCTTCGAGGCTGGGATGAGTCCATGTCTATTTCAAGTGCTTGAGTCACTTCCTGGCTCCTGCTTTTTAACTTTTTGTTCAGCCTTGTAATCTTGTTAATTGCAACCTAACCACCAGGTGTTTCTCTGTCTGAGAGAGGCGGGGAGTAGGGATGTTTGTGGACGCTTTCCTATGTAGCCGGGGGCTCCAGAACCTTCCCCCCCGCTCTCACCAGCCTCAGGAGCTGCGGTGACAGGTGCGTGGCACAGATCTGCTCAGCTAAGGAGCACTGGTTCCTTCCGCCCAGCCCCTCCCCACTGACTCGCTACCTCCAGACAGGACAAGAGCGTGTCCACCCCTGCCTCCTGGCATGGGGTGGGTGGGCCGAGGCAGCCGGAACACAGCCAGGGGCTGCAGGGTAGAGGCGCGGCTTCCTCGCAGCTCCTGACCATGTGGTCTCATTACAGCCCTGCCCAGACCTGGAGCGGGTGCGCACCATAGCTGCCACAAGCATGGCTGAGGAGAGGGTGTCGGTGCCACGGCTCGCTCAGGTACAGTCTGTTTCTGGTGGGGGGTTAGGAAAGCGTGCTCTGAAAATGGTATGACAGTAGAGAACCCGTAGTTATTAGAGAAGATGGAGATCAATTCAATTTCAGAAATGCAATTCGGGAGCTACTGCAAAACGAATAGCGGTATGGGCTCTCCATTGGCCTGTGGCTGTGGGACCCGGAAGGACACAGCCCACCGGCTGTGACCCCCCCCCCCCCGCCCCGCATCCTGAGCACCAGGTGCTGGCCACACACTGTGGGAGCGCAACAGTATTAAGGATTTTTTTTTTGGGGGGGGGGGGGGGGTCAGTTGTGGGGCTTGAACTCTGGGCCTGGGCACCATCCTCAACTCTTCAGCTCAAGGCAAGCGCTCTACCACTTGAGCCACAGCGCCACTTCGTTTTCTGAGTGGTTTATTGGAGCTAAGAGTCTCACAGACTTTCCTGCCCAGGCTGGCTTTGAACCACGACCCTCAGATCTCAGCCTCCTGAGTAACTAGGATGACAGACAAGAGCCACCAGCACCCGGCTAAGGATGACTTTTATGAGCATGTGTTACAAAAATAAGGATCCTCAACTGGGCAGTCACAGAATGAAGAAGTCAAGAGGTCAGAAGACTTGACTTGGGCTGGAGGCAGAGTGCAGGTCCGGGTGCCCACCCCAACACTAAAGCCGGGCGGGGGTCTTTACCACAGCAGTCAGTGCTGTGTTGGCACAGGGAGAGTTTGAGTCCCAAAGAACTCTGCTCGTGTCTGCGCTGGTGTGCCAGCCCGGCCAGTTTGCACAGCACACATGAGCCGCGTCCCAGGAGCAGCAGCGTGGGGTTGGCGCCCTTTGCGCCCACCTTTCCACATCCTGGCAAGTTGGCATAAACCCTGTCCCGGAAAATGCTCACCGCACGTTTTCTTTGAAATAAGGTGAGATTCTGCCTGTCATAAGCGCATACAGGGGAGTGGCAGCACCATACTAACTCGCCTTTCCTTATAACTTTAGGCAGAGCCTGAAACGCTCCAGCAATGTTAGACAGTGCTGTTTCTCCATGTGTGTGTGTGGGGGGGGGGGGGGGGGGGGGGGGGAACACAGACCCACATCCAGGCCACATGCAGCAGCAGGGCCTGCGTGATGGCGCTGTGCACCCTGCCCACCACACCTCCCTTTTACTGGAACTCTCCCATGGCTAAATGTTTGCAGTGCGCCCCCGTTTCATAAGAACTGGATGGCAGATAAGCCAGGGAAGGGGAACGGTGCTCAGCAGCGTCCCTGCACGCGTCACGGGTCTCCCAGTGACAGGTGACAAGGCTGCGCCCGTGCAAGGGTACACATCCACAACCCAGCACAGCATCCCATGCCGGGGCACTGACTCAGCGGAATGAAAAGTTCACCAGGGGGTTGGCACACGGCCTGCACCACAACCGCAGCCAGACCTTGGCGCCACACTGTGGACTGCGCTACAGAAATATTATCCTGTGTCCAAAGTGCACGTCACCTGCGCAGCTCTGGAACATGGCTTTCAGCTGGTAGCATGCTGGTGAGAGGCCTCCACCGCCAAGAACTAGCCAAGTCTGAAGCGCAGTTTCTATGGGCCATGTTGCCGTCACCACCAAAGGAGGAACTGCAGGAAGGCATCTGCCCTGTCTTGCCATGGTTGCATGATAAGTTTGTAACCATTCTTTTCCCCTTCAGTGCTAGGGATCAATCCAAGGCCTTGTGCATGCTAGATATGCGCCCTAAGCCCCACTGTTCTTCCACCCTGGGCTTCCTGTGCCCACAGCACAGGTACAGTGAGAAAGATGAGCACCCCCAGCATGCTGTGAGGGACCAAGGTTATCTCCCTTTCTTGTGTACTCAGAACACGCAGAGCCTGCACCAAGCACGTCAAAACTCAATCACCAGGGCTGGGAATGTGGCTTAGTGGTAGAGTGTTTCCTGGGTTCGATTCCTCAGTAACACACACACACACACCTAGAATGGGTGCTGTGGTTCAAATGGAAAAGTGCTAGTCTTGAGCAAAAGCAGCTCAAGGACAGTGCCCACAGGACTGGCAAAAAAAAAAAAAAAAAAAAAGGAAATGGGAGAGCCAAAAATGAGGAAAGGAGTAACAAGTTTGACAAGGAATATACTTATTATCTTACTTATGTAACCCCTCTGTACATCACCTTGACAATTAAAAAAAAAGCCAGGAGTGTTGGTGCACTGGACTACAGAATGAGACCCTATCCTGAAAATGGAAAGTGTAAATACAAAATAGACACACATTGTAAGGCTAAGCTGCTGTCTCTTATTTTGTCAGACTCTCCTGGCATCGGAGGAACTGCTGCTGAGCTGTGAGCAATCGCCATGGTGTGCAGAGGAATTAGGCCCCTTTCTACGCCTGTGCCTCTTGGACCACAACTTTCCTGCCTTTGTGGAAGAAGTGGAAAAAGAGCTTCAAAAGCTGATGGGGCTGAGAAATTAATGTTCCATGTGTGATTAAAGAGTACCCCAGAGACCTTTTATCAATGATTTATTGTTAAAAACGTGAGTCCACTTTTTGTACATCATTGCACTTCAACAGTTACACAAGTGCATGCATCTACAATTATATACCGGACCTGACCGGGTTATAAAACCTGCCATCAACCACTTAATCAGTGTGAAAAATACAGTGCCAAACCAAAGAGTCTAACTAGAGTTGCATAGAATCTCACCATGCTGTAACATTTCAAAGTCATTGAAAACAGAAGGTAAATTATAAAAGTTTGCCTTGAATGTACAAGAAGGTTCAACACAGTCAGTGCAAAAGGATTTAAGAATTTACATTTAACAGGAGAAAAAATAGTCACTTAAAAAGCAATCTTCTACATTTATACTGCAACTCGTTCTATCCAGCAAGTGGACTGCTCCAGCTTCTGAAAGTTGTAGGTTAAGCCCTTAGAATGAGAGACTTCAGTTTATATATATGACTCCTCTCTATGGACCAGAACCACAGTTTCCCATTGAACATGACCAGAATGAGATCAGCAGCTTAAATATGAAACAAGCATTTATTTTTGGATTTCTCCCACCCCCAAAAATATAAATATATATTTATATATATATCTATTTGTATACTGTATATATCTGTAGGTTTTGCTGTACTTTACAAAAATTTACCACTAGATGGCAGCAGTGCGTTTTTTAGAGCTTTGCCTTAAGTAAAAAATGGCGCATGCATGAACTGATCCCCAGAGGACCTTTTCACTTCTATTTAAATATTTGAACAAAGGGGGGATGGAGGGGGAGGGGGGGGAAGCAACATTCACAGCACATCAAGCCCAAAATAGTTTACACCTTCTACACTGAAGCGTTGTTTAAAATGTACCTGGCTAGGTCACCCTTACAGGAGAGGCTATGTAAGGCATGCTTTAGACGGTCGTCGTGCTGCTCACTTGAAAGGGGAGACACCAGAGGTCCAAGCAGACAGTTGAGCAGGTCAGGTTGCCACCAGTGTCAGGAACCTAAAGATCTACAGGGAGATAAGTGTGTGGAGGTTAAAAGGGAACATTTCCCGGCACTCAGTGCTCTTCTCTACCAAGGGCCACTCAAACGCATGCTCAGGGATGTGGCGTGAAACTCTGATCTCCATGTGCTTAGCAGAGAGCCGGTGCTCTGGTTGCCATCCTGTCCTTGTTCTGCCCTCAGAGGTAGACACTGCAGCACTGAGACTAAGGTACTAAAGGTAAGGTGCTTATTATGAAACATCATAATAGACTCGAAAATGGCAGGCACTTGGCTTCTTTCTCAGTACTGGCTGCTCTGAAGTGAGCTACAAGGACTTCCTACAACACCAACCACTGGCAGTTTGTTACAAGGTCAACAGCACAATTCATTTGCAAATCTCTAAAGAAGGCCATACTTACATTATAAGCGGTACTTAATTTGTGTTTCTCTGGCGCAAGTTTTTATCTTTGTGATTGTTGGTAGAGTTGGTTTTCCTTTGAAGGAAAAAATTGCACTGTATGAGTTAAGATGACATTTGAAATGTAACATGGAATACGAGGGTTGTTAAACTAGCCACATCTGAACACATGGAAATACAGGGGCTCTTTCACTTCTGCCATCCCTGGTGTCCTAGGAGACGTGAACACACGGTCCTGTGTGTAACAGTATTCCATAGGGAAGATCTCTCCATGTCTTCAACTAATGGATCCTCTTTGACTCCCAAGGCAGACCACATACAGGCAACTTTCCCTTTGATTTGTGGACTGTACAATTCAATCACTGTGAATGGGAGAGTCACTCTGCCAATTACTTCTCAATCACCCTCTGGCATTTATTGATAGGTACTGGGTGTGCCTCCTGCCTCTAGGAGACTCTGCCAATCTGTGGTAAGATTCCACACTTGCAGCTCCATCTCTCATTATTGGAGCTAGTTTGTCCAAATTTACCAATAAAGCCATGGCATCATGGCAGACTGGCCGTTGCACAAAGCATCAACTCAAACACAGACAGTGCAGAACTTTTAACAACTTTTTTTTCCCCCTCGGTCGTGGGGCTTGAACTCTGGGCCTGGGCTCTTTAGCTCAAGACAAGTGCTACACCGCTTGAGCCACAGCGCCCCTTCGGGTTTTCAAGTGGTTTATTGGAGATAAGAGTCTCTTGGACTTTCCTGCCCGAGCTGGCTTTGAACCGTGATCCTCAGATCTCAGCCTCCTGAGTAGCTAGGATTACAGGCATGAGCCACCAGTGCCCAGCTAACTTGTAACCACGTTTAGCATGACATTCCACTTGTGTGCAGACTGACCTGGGATCAAATGGTCTTTGGTCAGGCCAAGACACACCCCCCTCCCTCCCATTTAAGCTGCAAACACAACAGAATTCAACTGATACTTACATTGGCCCAGCTGGTTCATCATCTACATGGGTTTCATTTTTTTTTAATCCATGAGAAGAGAACAAAGGAGAAAATTATTAGCGTGCATAAGGATAAACAACAGAGCAAACTGTAAGTGGCAGACATGGCTGTCAGCACTGACTAAAGGCCATTCCATCTGGAGGTGCAGCAGCTCATGGAGTCACTTCTAAGGTCAAGTTTTAATGACAGGTATGTAGTTTCGATGGTTTCAGTTAACACTTTGAATGCTTGTCATGAAAAACTGCAACTGTAGCGGACAGATAGGCTGCAATGCCAGTCGACTCATCTTGTCCCCAAGTTCCAGTGGTTCACTCTTAAGTAGATGAGAAGACAAACCAACATTTCAGTTGTAAAATCCTGCTGTTAGTTTTCTCGTGGGGGGTGCTTGCGGTTTCGGCTCGGTCCTGCCATGTAACTGGACGTGTGCCTGCGTACGCTTAGCCACGCATCCTCACTGCCCCAAGGGCAACTTTTCTTGCTGTTTTGTCATCTCTCAATCTTTAGGAGATGTTTTTAAGTCTGGAGATAGCTCAACGTAACACTAAGTCAGCCAGGGCTAGGACAGGCCAGCAACAAGCTACGCACAGCAGAAGATGTTCTGTGCCACAGAACAGCGGGTGGGGAGCTGAACAGTAATGTCGTTCTAGAAAAAGACTTCACGTACAAAGATAGGCTGGCTTACTCTGTGCCCTGGCCCAAACCACTCAAAGCCAGGAGACAGCTTCTGGTTCTGTTTTTTTTATTTTTAAATCAAAACGATTATATTATCTGAGTTTAGAAGCCTTCTTAAATTGATACTTTATCATTAAAAAGTTTTCTTTCCTGTTTTAACACTAAGGGCAACTTAGTTCCCTGTTAGCAGACACATGAACATAGTGTCATCTTTTTTTAAAAAAAAAAAAGAAAGAAAGAAAGAAAATGGAAATAGAAGACCCACAGAAGGGCGGGAACAAGTGCACGTTCTTAGTTTGTCAAGTAGACAGGACAGTCTGATTTCACTGATGGCCTAGAGAAAACCTCGAGCAGGATTCCACAAGGGGCTTGGTGCACATGAAGAAGCCATTATGGAGGCTGCAGGCTCGCAGCATCTGCAGGAGCACACGCTGGGAGGAATGTCTGCGGGAGGGAGACATTGCTCCACCTGTTCCTTCCAGGCAACGGAGAGGCAAAGCCACTGCCAGCACACACAGTGACTGGAGCAAAAGAGGGTTTCAAAAAAACAAAACAACAACAAAAAAAAACAAAAACAACTAACCACGTAACCACGTATTGATGACTCATCAGCCAACAGTAGGCTAGCCACACCAGTGTCCACAGGAGTCCACTACCAACAATACACGCTCGGAACAGGAATGGAGAACAACAGACTTGGACTCGAGGACACCCAGGAGAGCTACAAAGACGGCACACAAGCCCTCACAGGGCTCGGACCTTAGCATCCCAACTAGGCCCTCAGCTACGGGCTAGGAGCTGAGAATCAGCACCTTGAGGATTTAGAGAAGACACAGGAGCAAGCAGTATTTTTAGTGCTCTGGCTGTGCACCCCAAAATACAAAATTCCAACACAAGATGGCCAAATCAAGAGTACCAGCAAGTCTACTCCCAACTTGCAAAGGAGAGGAGGGAAGAGCACAAGAGCGGCTAGTGCTAGTCCTGGGAGCCTGACTGTCCGCACAGCCCAAGCACCTTGGGCCACAGGCCATTTTTCTTTGGGAGGGCTGGTCCTCTGGTGTCTTGTCAGAAACATCGCTTGACAACCTAATAAGCTGGTTACATGCACAAGACTACACACCACATGGCAGTGTTCTAGCCATGCCTAGGAGTGGGAGCAGCAGGATTCACACCAGGGCTGGAACCCCAGAGGTCTCCTCCTCTCTCCCCAAATCCACCTTCACACTCAGAGAACCACCACCCACCTCCACCCGCCCCCCACCTGCGCTGTCCACAGCACTATTCCTCGCAGCGCAGACACACGCATGACTTGGCCCCTACGAGGGAAGTCAGGAGAGGGGGAGAGAACAGAACTACAGAAAAAAGGGACAAAAATCAAAGTAAATGCAGATTAAACAGCAAACTGAAATCCAAATTAGTCGTGAAAGTGAATGAAGTAAACTTGAAGTTGTGTTAACATTATGAACTGCATTGTAGACTGAAGCGGATTAAACGAACTCCAAAAGCATGCATTTTGCTCACTTACCACCAAGTTTTAAGGGTGTGATTGCAATTGAAGGGGGAAAAAAAAGAAGTCACAGTAACCGACAAACATCAGCACATCCCAAACCCTCAGGCCCTCAACAGTGAGTGTGCTCTCCACTTGGGGGCTGCACACAGCCACTGGCTAGATGAGAGGAAGAGGGCTGGGGGATGGAAATAAGATGCTTCTGGAATCTTCTGAGGAGTGTGACATTCCTGGAGGAGCTGGTGTGCACACCACCCAGTTACCTGCGTGTCTGGTTCCCCGCTGAGCGTGGGGCAGCTCTCCTCCCACCCTCTTTCCACCCTCCACACCCATTTTGTGAGACCCCATAAATAATAGATTGTTTTAGAGTCAAAAGAACTGGCTCAGGTCAAGTTCCTTTGTC